CTCCTGCTATTCTTGTGTTGTGTAATAACTGTAAAAAGACATCCAGTAAAGTCCAAACTTCAGTTCTTTTTTTTTTTTGTTCTTTTTTAGCTTAGTTGTGTGGGGAAGGAGTTAATTCACGCTTTCTGCCCCAAAGCTGGCCATATGAGGGGCTCCAATAACAAACGATTCCTGTAAATTGGCTGCAATTCGAGCTGTGGGTGGTCCTCTCAGCCCCACCCGGCTTAACAAACTTTGATTTAAAAATGGAAGTAGCTGGGCAGAAAATAAGTCAGGTTAACAGTGACTGCAGCCACGGGTTCCTGCTATCTTATTACAGTAGCCTGCAGGAGAGATTCTTCCATCCATGCTGTATAGTGTGATAGGGGAAACACGTGATTTCTCTCATTCACTCTGCTGGGAAATCTTTGTGTATGGCCAGCTTTAGACATATTGTGGAAACTTTCCTTTACTGGGGCCATATTAAACACTGTTTCAAATTCTATTGAAAACAACAAAAATGTTTTGGCTGGAGTTCTATTTTACCTTCACATGATGCTGCGCTGTAACATTGACCTTGGGTCTTGAATGTTTTTCCCTAGATCAGTATTTCTTCCTCTTGTTATTTATTATTCCTTTGTTAGCAGCCATATAATTGAGGCGTTGGAGTTCTTTTTTAAAGTGACACTAAATTCAGGAGTTTAAAGGAGAACTATGAGGTGAGTGCTTTTCACTCACCTCATAGTTCTAGCCGACCTGTGACAATAAGACTGGCACAGGTCGGTTTAGTAGATCGGGAGGTGAGCGAACACATACCGGCGTTCGCTCACCTCTCGATCCTGTCACGGCTCTCTGCCGTGACAGGGGAGGGGCTGGGTTCCCCCCTCCCCGCTCCGATCCGCCAGCGCTGACTGGCGGAACAGACAGGGGAGGGGGCGGGTACAGCTGGCTCTGCCTCTAGATAGGCAGAGCCAGCTGTCAGTCATGCAGCTGGGTGGATCCAGACATAATTGTCGGGATCCGCTTCAGCTGCTGCGTCTCGGTATACCATGAGCAGCAGCTCGTGGTATACTGCTGCGTCTCAGTATACAGCGAGCTGCAGCTCGCCCTATACTGAACCTAGGGTGACGGGAGGACGCTAGTTTGTGTCCTCCCGTTACCCTAAGTAGAACTATGGGGAAAAGCCTTAACCCCATAGTTCTCCTTTTTAATATTAAAAATGCATTCAAGTACCTGAACTATTAGCAACGTATCTTATTTGTGTATCACTGGGCTGTAGATCCTCAAATCATCTCTGAATTGGTGGTGACACGGTCCTTCCTTCTGGAGGGTGGCTTCTTTTGTTCTCCATGGTCCCTGTGTGTGTTGTAAAGTAGCCATCGCTCCAAGCTCACTTCTGTGATGGACTACAGTCTCAGTACAAATTAGTAAACTTACCATGAGATTTGTAGTCCATCACAGGAGCGAGCTTGTAGTGGTGACTTTACAACACACACAGGGACCATGGGGAACAAAAGTAGCCGCTCTCCGGAAGGAAGGACAGTGTCAGCACCAATTCAGAGATGATTTGAGGATCTACAGCCGAGTGATACACAAATAAGATACTTTTTTGTGAATAGTTAAGGTACTTCACACCAAGTATGGAGCAGATGCAGTTACAGAACGCATCAAAACTGCATCCAATGTATTTCAATTCCTCATGCAGATCTGGTCCCGATTTGGTGTGATCAAGCCCTTAACCCCTTCGTGACTGACGACGTACAGTGTACGTCGCCAGCATATTACATAATCCACACTATTTATTCTGACTGATGTTCTTCCAAGCCCGTCATTTAAAATTAATTTATGTTTTTGGGAGTATTCATAGGCAAGCATAGCTGAACCATAAGATTAGTCAGCTATGTATTGGAATAATGTGAACATGTATCAATTATGAGAGAATTTGAAATCCTTTGTCCTACCTTTTTGATAAGTTAATCAGATTTACACTTGTCAGAAAAGCTTTTAGGAGAATTGAAATGGACCATCCAGTTGACACAAGACAATTAAGTTAATGAAAGCATTGCATTTACATTTTGAATAATTCACTGTCGTTTTTTGCAGCGTCTCATTAAAATAAAATATACATATGGGATTGCAGTTGCAGTTTTTTAATGGTCATCACATCTTCTACTATGAGATACTCTGTAGCACAGGAAAGATTTTGGCTCTTCTGTATGCGTCTCAAGCCAGGCTGTTGTCTTGGGCTGTTTCACACCTTTTGTGGCTGTTTTTAGGGGCATTAATAGTCATGAGGTTTCATGCCCTGCCATTGTTATCGATAGGCCCTAAAACACGTACCAGTACATAAAAAAACTGACAGCACGTTAATGCATCGACCAGATGTAAATTAACTATGATTAGCCCTAAGCACATCTGGAAGTACATGAGAAATACTTGCTTCTATAAAAGGGTACATTCTTTACTGAAGGCTGAACTCCAGGATAGCAAATATTGTCCAAATACAAGAGTGGAGTGTGCTCTTCCTTGAATCTTGCTGTGCTTTGTGTATTTTTTTCCAGATCTGTGCAGTAATCCAGTGTGGAACTTTCCCTCTGTGCAGGAGCTTCCTGTAATAAATACCAGTCACTGCTGCTCTCTCTACTTGTGCAGGGTGACTGGTCTTGCCTCCGCCCCCTCCTGTAGTTTTCTGCAGGCAGCCTGTAGTGGGTGGAGCTGCTAGGTCCTTCCCACAGCTTTACTCTATTCACAGGCCATGTGCACCACCGTGATAATGTTGCTTCTTCTTTTGCAGAGTAATAGATGGATTTGTAAAGGCATTTGAACATAATTTAAGATGACTCATCTCTAGGGCTTTAACTAACGATCATTTTAATAATCGATTAGTTGGCCTGCGATCTTTGTTTTAAAATGTATTTCCAATTTAATCGAATAAAAAAAATAAAATCTTTTATTTAAAATAGAATAAACAAATGGAGTGTTACAAACATAAAGTTTACTGCAGAATGAAATATTTTTTGCACTCGTACCGCACTGGAACGCAAGGCATTGCAGTACTGCGCGTTCCAGTGCAGGTGACCGCACCGTGGGCGGGAGGGGCATTTTGGATGGCATTGAAATGAATGGCATCACAACGCACATCCCAGAGCAGAATTTTCACTATCTATCTCTATCTATCTATCTATCTATCTATCTATCTATCTATCTATCTAAGATTGCAAAACATTGTACATGCAGTTTTATTCTGAAGTAAACTTTGTTTGTAACACTCCATTTGTGTATCTTATTCTAAATTAAGGATGGTATTTCATTTTTTAAAAATCTGATCGAAAAAATAATCGGGCCAACTAATCAATTATGAAAATAATAGTTGATTGCAGCCCTAGTTGGATTTATGACGACTTGCAGGAACAGGCTACACTCCATCGGCCACTTACCTAGTTTAAATCTCTCTGTTGTCTTCAGGCGGCGCCCCCATGTTGTTGTCTCTTTTCACTTTCACCATTTACTAAGTGAGAGATATTCTTCTCACCCCCATTTCATCTCGGCCTGGGAAAAGGGTCTTCATATTTCATTGACTAATGAAATCCCAAACTTGCTCGCACATAAACTTTCCATTGCCTGCTTGACCCAGGAAAAAGGATTCAAGATTCTCTCATGATGGTATGGTTGTCCAGCTCTTCTACATAGAATCTGTCCTTCTAGGTCCCCATTATGTTGGCGTTGCCATCTTGTATACGGGACTCAGTCACGCATATGGTGGGATTGCTCTTTTATGTCGCCCTTCTGGTCTCACATTCTTTAGATTTATACCCAGGTTGTTGGGTCCTCCCTGACCCCCTGCCCTAAGATAGCTCTCCTTTTTTGATACTGCCAGGCTCAGTCTCTAAGTTAAAAAAAGACCTCCTTTGTGATGGCGGCACGGTCTTTAATCTCTCTTTAATCTCATTGGAATACATAAGTTGCTCCAGCTATACAGGAATGAATATCTGAAATGTGCATTGTCCACTAATAATGTGCTTTGAGGAATTAACAGCCCAAGTTAGTCCACGATCGCCAGCCACAGTGTACTGACATATGGGCAGCCTGGATTTTGTACATGGACACATGTATTTTTAGCCTTATGATCGAGCCACTCCACTTCCCTTGTGCCTTCCTCTGTGCCACTTTGACATTTATATAATGGGCTACTTCTTTACTGGATGGACTGCAGGGGGATAACTTAACTCCTTATCTCTGCTTCTAGCTCGTTCTGTTCTTCTTTTGCTGTATCCTATTCTGCTCTACGTTGTTGTTGTTTTTCCTTTTTATGTTTTTTGTTTTTCCTTTTTATGTTTTTTGCTAATTGAGATTTTTTTTCACTGACGCCTGCATATTGTTTTTTCTGTACCCTTGGGCTGGGTTCACACTATTTTCCGGACCAGATCTGGAACATAGTGCATTGCGTTTTTGCCGCATTTGGAATTTTTTTTTGTTAAGCCTAAAATGGTCTTACAGGAGCGTTTTGTGTGTTTTTTGATGCGTTCCAGTGAGACATACAGTATTTTTCTGTTCTGGTCTGGATCGGACTGCGCTGGTGGGAACAGAGGTCAGAAATGGCATAGGGATACATAAGGATGCATTTTGGGTCCGGAAACGGTCTGGTCTGAAGGTGATCTGGACATGGTGTGTATGGGCCCTTACTCAGTATGTATTGCCCTTTGAAGTGTATCTTCTGTTTAATGTTTATACATGATGGGCCTCATTAACTTCGCACTTGGTTTTGCACTTCATGTCTGTTACCATTTATTTATTTTTGAAATGTTAATAAACTCTTTAAAAGTAGGATTTACTGAAAAATGGGCACAGATGCATTAGAAAAAATTAGGGATACATTACTGGCTTTTCTTTTTAGGTTTACAACCACTTTAAGTACTTTAAAAATGCTTCTATTTAAAACCTCTTTCATAATCTTTCTTGACCGTGTCATTGTCGTAAAAGCTATTGGAATGTAATAGTGATTCATTGTTTTGTTCTTTCAGTAGGAGTGACAATCTGGTTTGATTACTACTGAAGCTTCTCAGCTCGCCTGTTCAGACTGTACATGTGCTTCTCCTGAGACTATCCCGACATTGGATATTTTCAGTATCATGCCGAGCAGGATGGGGTCCAAAATGGATTTATCAAAAGACTTCATCAAAATGAAGGCACACTACAATGGGTACGTTTTACAGATCCACTGAATGCTTCATTTGATTAATAAATACAGTTACTGGTTTTCATGGGAAGTCAGTTATGAGAATATATTAAAACTGGGGTAGACAGAATCTGGAGTGGTTGCCCTTAGTAACCAATCAGCTTTCTGCTTTAGTTTGTTCAGTTAAAGTGACACTAAACTCTGGAGCTAAACCGTAGAAATACCTTAAAGGAGAACTATGGGGTTAAGGCTTTTCCCCATAGTTCTCCTTAGGGTAACGGGAGGACACAAACTAGCGTCCTCCCGTCACCCTAAGCTCCGTATACCGCGAGCTACATCTTGCGGTATACTGAGACGCCAGAGTATACCGCGAGCTGAAGCTTATCCCGACAATTATGTCTGGATCCGCCCAGCTGCGTGAGTGACAGCTGGCTCTGCCTATCCAGAGGCAGAGCCAGCTGTAAATTATTAACAAACATGCATCTTATTTGTGTATCACTCAGCACCAAGTCAGAGATGATTTGAGGATCCACAGCTGACCCTGCCCTTCCTTCTGGAGGGTGGTTACTTTTCTTCCTAATGGTCCCGGGTGTGTGTGTGTTTCATACATTGGATTGCACTTTTGATCATGGAGGCTCATCATCACATGTGGGCCAGTACCTAGAGAGTGGTCTGCGTCCAAATGCAGCCTGCCTAGAAATGCCCACTAATTCAGACATCCACTCATTAGGGCATTTTGATATTTGCATAACTCCTTCAAAGAATCAGGCCACTACCTACATCAGGACTGGGGGCTCTTGAGAGGAGTACTCAGGTAAGGTGCTGTTTTGTTTTTAAGAAGCTATGCACAGCACCCTGCCAGCACTTCCCGCCAGCCATGATTTGCCTGCATTGGATAGAGCAGCACAGAGACCCAAAGATAAACAGTACTTGGTTTGGGCCCCTTTTGCAGCACTTACTGCAATTACTTTTGCACGTTATTCTAATCGAGTTTCACCTGTATATATATATATTAATATCCAGAAGGAAACAAACTAAACATAGAAGTGTGGTATGACATTTTGTATCTGTTTCTCTCTGTTCAGTTTACAGAATATCTACATGTATGTTTATCTTCTTATTTTCCATCTTGTGACTCTAACATTTCACATAATCTAACTCCTATGATCTTCATTTGGCAGGAATTTTAATCTAATATAAAAGCATAAGTTGTAGTCTAAAACCAGTCAGTATAGATTTATGGGAGTTGCCATTGCTGACTTTTTAGGCTTTTGGGCTCTCAACCCTATTTTTATTTTGCCACTTGGTGAAATCGCTAACCTCAATGCTTTTTAGAAGCGACAATCAACCAGGGTGACCGAATAAGCTTTGTCATAAACTCTCAGATCTCTTTTGTTACTGAAACCAAGAGACATGCATGTTTCAAAATCCGCAAGGTCACCAGAGCTTTTCTTTCCCAACTCATCTGACATTTTACTTGATGAAAGACTCATTCCTTTGGGAAAAGTCTCACCAGTCTCCAGTGGATTGCAGAGATGTTCCTACATGTTTATATATAACTCTATGCATTAAAGATAGGTTCAACTGCTTTCAAAACCAACCTATGTACGGACACCTGTAGGTTAGTAATTCTATAAGATATGAAGGGTCCAAGCATTTTTCTTGTAGATGTAGACATCCCTCCTCATATGTGTTAAACCATGGAAAGTGCTGATTTGAGGAACAATGGTCCATGTGTTGTATTGCAAAGCCTGACCACAGACCTACAATGACTCTACACCAGGGCTGGACAAATCCCAGGAGCCAGAAAGCCAATGCTTCTTAAAAATGACATCTGGTGCCTAATTTATTTTTATTATTATTATTATTATTATTATTATTGAGGATGTATATAGCGCCAACAGTTTGCGCAGCGCTTTACAATATAAGGAAGACATTACAATCACAATACAATTCAAGACAAGATGGTAAGGAGTAGGGCTGCAACAACAAATTGACTAAATTGATTATAATCGATGATTAAAAAAGTTGTCAACTTTTTCAATCATCGCTTAATCGGCTTCCAATTAGTTAGCCCTGTTCATGGCTCCACACACGCTGTGCGCCGCACCTCCTCCCCACCTCACGCTCGCCGCTGCCAGACCCGCGCGCATTCACGCTCCACACGCCGCACCTTCTCCCCGCCTCACGCTCGCCGCCCACCCACAATCCAAACAAGTTAAACCAATATCTTCATGGACATGCAGTTTTGTATCACCCAACTATACGCTGACCTTGGTAGCATTAGGGGAAAGGTAGATAGCCCAGTCCTCAAACAAATCAGAATAAAGATTTCTATTTTTGCAGCCCAGATTGGGCTGATCATCCCATATGTACAGGTACTTTATGTGGTACAAACCTGTCCGATTTATTTTTGTTCTGTAGATGATCTCTTAAATGGCTCATAAATAGTTTGTTTCATCTGTGGAATCACAACATGTCTGTTTATTAGCTGCATAGCTCAGGGCTGACTAATGACAGTAAGCCCTGTTACATATCACATATGTATTCTTGAATGTCTTGATCAGCTTCCCATATGTATGTAGATTATACACAGCATGTGGGAGCTCACACATTCCACAGCAGATTAGCCGTGCCAAGGAGTAACGGAAATGACAGCAGCTATAAGTGCAGACCTGAGGACAGGTATAGCTTGTCCTGCCAGAATGTGTCTCTTCTAAAAGAATGCAGTCTTTCTGTATGTCACCTTACAACACCCAAAGACTGCACTGTTAGGCTCTGGAAAACAGTAAAGTAAACATGAATATGCCTCACATTAAAGCACAATTCCACCAAATGGATAAATATACAGTTAAAACAAAAAATAATAATTATTTAACATTCCAAAGGCTTTATTAACCCCTTCATGACTGAGCTAGTTTTCAGTTTCTGTTCATAAATAACTGACACACTTTTTAAATTTTTGCTGTGTGATTCTTCCACAGCAGTAATATACTTTCTTACTAAATGTACCCACATATTATATATATTTTTTAGAGGACATATAGGGCTATATAATATATATAATACCTAACGCTTCACTTAGTTTGAATAAAAAAATGAGGAAAAAAACTAGAAGAAAACACTTTCTTTTTTGTAAGTTTATATCAAGCAGTCACTGTGACTGCTTGATAAATTAACTTTTTACATTTTTGACTTATTAGGCTGCTCCATACTTAGGAACAGCTAATAATAACCTTAGAGACTAATCCTGACCGCATGTCAGATTCAGATCTCACTAAAGTGATACATTCCAGGCACAGAGATACATTGTATCTCTGTGCCTGAGATGTATCTTAAACATCAAGCCGTCAAAACGAATACAGTGTACGTCTTCCGTCACGAAGGGGTTAAGTAATATGAATACTCGTGTAATCACATAGTCTTTGAGCTGTACACAGTTGTTGTTTTTTTTTTTAAATTTTTTTTTTAAATTTTTTTAAATTCTTTTATTTATTATGATACAGAACATAGTCATAAGCTCTCACAGCCGTGAGGGCACAGGTCTCAGTACAGTAAATAACAGAGAAAAACCAATTGAAAAACCCCTTAGAAGTACAGACCCATAACCGGGATCACCCCGAGAAAGTGTGTGTGTCCCGTGCTGCACACAGTTTTCACATTACTTTTCACCTTGGATTTTGCAATTTCTGAGCCACCACCCTGTAGCCTTTTCTATGAAGCATTTTTGGGCTGCCTTTGCCTATCTAAGAGACCTGATAGGCAGTCCAACAGAAGGATCTTGCATGGCAGGTTTACTATGTTGCTGCTAAGGCAGAGTCTCCAGGTAAAAAAATGTTGTCTGGATTACAAAAATGAAAGCTGTCTAGAGTGAGGCATAATTCCAAACCTAGTAAAAAAATATATTTTGGGATACATTTTAAGTATGCGATTTGACGTTTTAAAACATATTTAAAAGAAACCTGTGTTGAAAGAGATATCTAGGCTGCCATTGCTGATCTCTCCTTATAAAAATGTTAGTTGCCTGGCTGTCATGCTTAGGATTTGGAGTTCCCGATCCAAAACAAGAGTGGAGAGAAGAAATTCTAAACATTTTTCACTCACGTTTGCTGCATGCTTGTATATGTCTTTGATACAAAGTATTGAAGCCAGACATGTTCAGAAAGAGATGAGCCAAAGCACTTTTTTTTTTATTTCTCCCATGTGTACTTAAAAGAGAACTATGGGGGAAGTGTTTTCCCCCATAGTTCTCTTAAGGGTCACGGGAGGACATATACTAGTGTCCTCCCGTGACCCAAAGCTCAGTATATAGCGAGCTACAGCTGAGACAGCCAGAGCCGGGGCGGATCCCATCATTACTGTCGAGATCCACCCAGCTGCGCGATTGACAGCTGGCTCTGCCTATCTAGAGGCAGAGCCAGCTGTACCCGCCCCCTCCCCATCCGTTCCACTCGGTGCTGGAGGATCGGAGCGGGGTAGGGGGAATCTCTGCAGAGAGGAACTGTCAGTCACAGCTCTCTGCAGGGAGATGATCGAGAAGTGAGCGAGCGGCGGTCTGTGTTTGCTCACTTCCCGATCTATTGAGCTGACGTGTGACAGTTTCATTGTCACACATCGGCTCCACCCATGAAGATGAGTGAGTTTTTATTCCCCCCATTGAAGTGTATGTCTCGGCAAAAAAAAAAAGTTCTCGTACATCTCTACAATGTATACATATTTCCCGATGTTATCAATCTAACTACTTCAATAAAATCCCAACAAGCATTGCTGTTACACTTGTTTGGACATGGCACCTATTGGATGCAGATGGCAAATGTGAAATATAAATGTGTACCTAACTGATTAAAAATTGTATTTATTTTAATTTTTTAAAATAGGTACTAAGCATAACAATTTTTTTTAATGCATGTGCACTTCTTTTAAGCTGGCATTTATATGTTTGCTCAGAGTTGTGTTTTTTGTGTACGTTTAAACAAGGAAGTCCTTGTTAATTCTTATTTTGACTTTATTCCTTTTTCCTTCTT